TAAACGAAGCTTGTCGGTAAATCGAGTGTCGGCGGATTAGCTGTCGGTAAAAAAAGTGTGTCGGTAAACTGAGTGTCGGTGTAGTGTTATGTCTGTAAAGTGATTGTCGGTAAAATAATACGAATCCACATAAACATTACAGCTGTTTTCAAAAGGTCTGAACAACGATTTCTACATGCCTATGCGGGGAATTAAAGAATTAGAAAATTATCATTAGTAAAAATTGAAGATCTGGCTTTGAAAGCTGGGTAACTTGTAAATTTCCTGTGATATAGTTATTTGCCCTATTCATACCTTTTGAAAACAGCTATAAATTTGGCCTTAACATTCAAAGAAATGACAGTTGCAAATAAATGACTTAGCGAGAAAATTTTTCTTATCAATTAATTTCGGACAAATGTGTCATCAGAATTATGTCATGTTAGCAAAATGAGTTATAAGTATTGTAGCTTTGATGATGTTATTTAAAAAAATGGATGTCAGAAGTTAAACTGTAACCTTATTACAGTATTATTATTATTATTATTATTATTATAAAATCGTAATTGTCAAGCGGTTAACGTAGATGAAAGTTGAAACTTCAATTCTATACAATTATAAATACATTTGTATAATATATTAAATACTCACGAATATTTTTGCTTATAAATGTTATAATGACTTTCTAATTATTTATGAGAGTGTGAATAGGAAGAACTTTTTTTTTTTATCGAAAATCATATGAAATTGATGATTTTATCAGGAAGTAGATTGCATTTGACCGGTTAATTTTGTGACACGTCAATCGGTTATTAATACCTAAACATTATATAAATACATCTAGATCATAAACTTTGCCTGATTTATATCAATAGAAATCATTTTAACCATCCCTATCAAAAATGTCTAATGCTAATATAACCGATATTGGAACCAAAGAAGTAAACGCTGACGAAACTCCATTGAAACCTACATTAAATGTCAGAGTTCCTGGACTCATTAAAACACTATTTAATATAATACCTTGCGTTCTTTATGAAGTTACTGGATTATATGAAAAATCCGAAGGTTTAGACAACGATGGAAGTCCTTTGGATGGTTTAAATGATGATAGTATTATTATTAAAACCAGTTTAAGAAGTTTGGTTTTAATAATAGCTATATTTCTTGTAATTCCCTTCGCAAATATTTTGGTAGCATTTCTCTTTTACTTTTTATTTATCTATTGTCGATATAAAAGAATTATTTATCAATCAATTATTTCAGCAATTCTTGCAATTTTTACTTTTTTTCATTACTATTTCTCTCGAATCTTTTGATCAATTTAAATTAGCATCTTACTTAATATTTAGGTGCTGTTGTTCAATTCTTGGTTTTTAAAGAACTTACTTACTTATTATTATCATTTTTGAGTTCTTATAGCTTATTAATATATGGAATAATGAATTTAAATAGTGTTGATTTTAGAAGCTTACTAAAACAACATTATTTTTATTTATCTTTCTTAATAATAACTATCTTTTTTTCTCAAATTTTTAATATAATATTCATTACTGCACCAGTCTATGTATTTATCTTTTTCAATCATTTGCATAAGATTGACATTATTGATCAACTATCAAATTCTCCTAGTTTGTTTAAACATTTTATTTTATTTTTTTATCACGTGGACTTTCTGCCTCCGAAAGAAAAATGCTTGAAAATTATAATGTTGATTATATAGATCGGAAATTATATTTTTGGGTTGATGAAGATCGAACTAATTTTTCAAAATATAATCATGTTTCATTCAATTTAGAATCTTTTATTTATTTAAACGGGCTTAAGAAAACATATGATGGAACAGAAAAAGGATCAACAGACAAATTTTGTGTAAAATATTTCAAATATCGTTATCAGCTTATTCTTGTAATGTTATTAATTGATTTTAACTAAACTATTTTAATAAAATTCAATAATGCTTTCAAAACAATTACAACATTATCTAAAGATTAATGTCAGGGATGATATGAAATTCGATGATCGTGAAATTAACGCGTCTGATTGTTTAGGGTTAAGATCATATGGACGGATTTGACCAAATTGATTATTGCAAAAATTCACGATGATTGGTTAATTCACTGAGTATAGTACTAAATTTTGGTGGTTCACAATAACGTAGATAGATATTTCATATTTACTTTTAACAAGACTTTAGTTTCCTTGATCAAAAATTTTTACTAGTAGTAATGCAGCAGGTAGAACGCGTAAAAGTGTAGCATATGGCAAAAATCTTAAAGAATACAAGGCTAGTTAGAATAATAAATCTGCTTATTGTTGACGTTACTACCTTTTTATCAGTGCTGTTACTAGCCTTAATTTTAATTAGCCTTAGCCTTAAGTCTAATTGGGTTAAATCTGACAGTTTATATGGCTAAATATCAACACTGCTTTTTATTGCTAAGGTTACCACTATTAAAATTATAAACCTACTCTGTTAAAATTATTAATCCACCCATTGATAAAAATATAAATTTATCTATTACTGAAATTATAGATCTATTCGCCATTAAAAATCATAAATCTCGCCTATTAAACTTGTGAACCTATCTATTGTCAATATCACGAACCCATTCACTATTGGTATTCTTAATATTTTTTGTGAAGCACTTGAATTTAACAGAGTTAGTAAATAATGTTCATATTAGAAACAAAATTTAGTAAATATTGATAATAGACTAAAGGAAAATTGCTATATTTCGTCACATATTAAAAGTTCATTTCCAATAATTTAAAATGCAAGAACATATTAAAAATTAGTTTGCCGCAAATAATAACTAGTAATAAAACGGCGGCATTTTATAGGGCTGGAGTCTTAGATATTAGTTTATTACTGTAGTTTTAAACTTCAACAAGAAAATAGCATAGTTAGTATAGTAACTTATATAAGATAGTATTTTATAATAAAAAATCAAGGAAATTTACAAATAAGGGTCTGGAAAGTCTGGAAAGTGAAAATAATTATAAATACAGGCCTAAATTAAAATAATTATATATATATGTAAATGCAAAATTTTTAAAAAATAATACATATAAGGGCCCAAATCTATTGATGACTAAAAAAAAATGACCACAGGGTTATTACGCCACAAGGCACTATGATCATTTGACTTATAACAATTGAAAACCGCGATTATAGGATTATCTATACACCGATTATTGGATAGAAGGTTAAACTAGCACAATTATTTATACGGCGAAGAAGTTTCAACAGAGTAACTCTCTATAGAGCTGAACGAACATATTCCATATTAGCAAATGTCATAATGTTTGTTATAACAATAGGCAAATTTATACAAAGAAAATGAAATTTATTAAATTTAAAAAAATTTCTTTTCTCATTTATAATTACTAATTTACAATCGATTGACACATTTTTTATGCGCTTAATAAGTACACTTATCGATGCTTACATTTTTATGCTAATAACGATCAAGCCATAAATTTAGATAATGTCGTGGGACCTTATATTTTTTAAACATTAGGTAATATTTTTAATTTGGTCCCGTGTTTGTAACTATTTGCACTTTCCGGGCCCTTATTTGTAAGTTCCCCCAAAATTAACCGTTAATAAACGAATACATGGAATGTGTTAATTTTACGTACAACTCAAAGTCATAAATAGGATGTGTTAATTTTACATACAGCTCATAAAGCATAAGGAAAGTAATATCCGATATTATTACTAAAATTTATTACCTGCGTATACTCGTTACGCGTTATTAATTAATTTATATATCACTTGTAGATTAGAAAACAATATCTGATATGTAATAGATATTCCACGGGCTGCTGTGAATATCATGGATTAGCACGGCGAAGCCGTGGTAATACATGATGTCA